CTCCATGGGTCACCTCCCTCCAGCACACAGGGCCCAGCTCCAGCCTCAACTGAGGGTGCAGTGCTGGCCCAGAGCTGAGCTTTGCACACAAGGGGTGGAGATGACTCAGGAACCTGAAAGCACTGGGCCCCCAAACCACTGTGAGGCCACCCAGAAAGGCTGGGCAGTGCCCCCTCCCTGGCACCCACAGCTCTTATTGCACAAAAAGACAGGCTGGCAGTGCATCTCCCAGACTGGCCAGCTGTGAGGAGTTGGAGCACCAGGGTCCTGCCCACCCCAGGTGTGTTTTTTCTCTCCAGCAACTCCCAGCATAGCAACTTTGGGGTCTTGGATGCTGCCTCCTGCCTTGGTGCTGCAGAACCAGTGCCTGCTCCCCAGGGTGCTCTCCCAGTGCCCCTATCCCAGTCCTTCCCCTGTCCCATGCTGGATGGGGTCCAGGTACAATCCCTGCAAAGCACAGGGGTCCCACTTGCTTTTCAGCAAACTTGCTGGAGCTTTGCTCCATCTTGCAGGCTGCGCAATCTCCCTGAGCCCCCTTCACTCTCATGGGGAGGAAAGGGGACCCCAAGCCCTGAACTCTCCATGGGCTGCATGATGCTCCAGCTGTAACTGGGAGGGACCCCAGTACATCCCTGACCCTCCAGGCCCTGTCCTGCCTTCCTGCGCCTGACCCTGAGAAAAGCACAGCCCTGCGCCTTCCTCCCACCCCCATGGGCTTGTCCCTTCATCCACGACAGTTCTGCCCCTGGTACCTGCCAGCTCTTCTGCATCCCCCATGTCCTGGGACCACCCAGTATCCTCCGGTCCAGCCCTGCGGCAGGGCTTTGGCAGCTGCAGCTTTGTGTCGCCTGCTCCATCACCCCTTCCCGCTGCACAAGTATTGCAAATAGCAGGTGCCTTTTCTTGCTTGGAGCTGTTTTCTAGTGGCAAATTCTTGTGAAGGCTTTTTTTTCTCTGCTGGGTTGTGTAGCCGAGCCCAGTGGTCTGGGTTTGTCAGAAGACAGGGCGTGTACATATATTTTATACCTTGATGTGTTCCTGTAAATAGTATGTTATTTTGGTCTCATGATGTACATGGTTTTTTTTGATGGCTGTGTTTGTTTCTTGCCTTTTTGTCTTCACAAATAAAATGTACTAAAATGAAGTGACAGAGCAGAGATGTCTTTGAAGAGGAGGAAGAGCACAGCCACAAACCGCCTGTCCCACTCTGATGTACCTGGCAAAGGGGCTGGGGGAGTGGCTGCTGCTGCTACAGCTCTTCTGGCCCTGCCTTGGGTGGTGTGAGAAGGTGACCTGCATCCTTACAGGCACCGAGTCCTCAGGCAGACAGGGCAGATGTGATTGCACTGGGAGGTGGAGGAAACACAGACCAAGCCCGCGGCTCTGCCCCTCTCTCCTGGTGAGGAGGAGGAGGAGGAGGGGAGGAAGAAGCCCGGCCAGGCAGTCCCAAGTGGCAGCCAATCCCCCCCAAGAGTCAGAGCATCCCCAACCTTGCATCATCGCATCACCACCCCGAGGGAGGGATCCCCATGTCCCCAGGCTGGCAGGGCCCCGGGGCTGTGGAAAAGTGCTGTGGGACAGGGGCTCGAGTGGTTGTCCTCAGGGTGGCTGGCTCTCCTGAGGCTGAGGGCTTGGGGGCTCCCTGGGGACACCGGGCACCTGCCTACCCCATGCTGGGGAGCAGCCCAGCTGGCTGAGGGGACCGGTGGCCTTGGGGACAGCCGGCAGGTGGCAGCCCCGGCTGTGGGACCGTGAGGACCGGGGCTCGGCAGAGCTGCCAGAGCTGGGGCAGCAGGGTGACCCCCCGAAAGGTGGGGCAGCAGGTGGTGGTGGAGGGGAGAAGACCCCAGTCCCAGCGTGTGGTGCCTGTTGAGTGCCCGGGGGTGACCGGTGCTGGCACCAGCCTGTGCCCCCAAGGCAGTGGGCAACCAACCTGTCCCAGTCCCAGGTGCTGCAGGGCAGGGAGGGAGGCAGTGAGCTGTACCCCCAACTCTGCAGGGCAGGCCCTCAGCAACAGCAACCTCCACTTTCTCTTTCCCAGCCAGCTAGCACTAGTTAAACTGGTCGGATGGAGCAGCTGAGTGGGGAGCCGCCAGCCATGGGCTGTGCCCACACCGACCACCCCGGATGTGGTTCCTGCTGGCCCGCACCCCGCTCCCCGCCTGGGGCACCCCACACCCTGCTGCCACGGCAGGGAGAGAGCTGTGGGCGCTGGCCCTGTGCTCAACACACCTGGCAGTGCTTGGCCTGAGACCGGGGCCAGCCTGGTCCTAACGGTGTCTCTGGATGGCTGGTAGTGCCCAAAGCCATAACAGTCCCCAGTACTGTGTCCTGCATCACCCTGTGTCATGGCTTATCTTGGTGCTCCCAGAGCAAACAGCATCTGTGGTGGCAACAAATGTGGGGGTATCACACGCCCAATTACTCCTGGCAGGGCAGGTGACAGGAGTAGCATCTCCCTTCCACCTGGTGTCCCAGCCAGTCACTGCACCAGACACCTTTTCTTGCTGGTCCTTGTGTCACCAACTCACTCCAAACTCATAACAACCTTTTTTCTGCTCCAGCAAGACACCAAGCTGTGGCTGGGAGCACCCTGTGCCATGCTCCCCACATGCCTGAAGGTGTCCTTGGAGTTTAGACCACCAGCAAAGGGACAGCGCAGAGACATTATTGAGACCCACCGGCTCTGGTGATGAGATTGCGGCAGCCCTCTGACACCCATTCCCAGGCTCAAGGAGGAGCTGCCCTCAGCCCATCAGTGCTGCGGCTGCTCCTCAGCTGAGGAAGGTCCCATGGGCACCATCCAGCAGCTTGCTGCTGCACTGTGGCTTTGGGGAGGGCATGGGGACACCCCAGGAGAGGCTTATGCTTCCCCATGCTCCTGACACAGTGTCTCAGCATATCCAGAGAGTGTCCTCCACTGTGATCTTCTTCCTGTAGTCCATTATAGGGCCTGGGTTGGGGCACATCGACCAGGTAGATGGACAACAAGGCCATTTCTCCAGGTCAGTAAAGCTGGAGGGTGCCTGCAGGGAGTTGGGGAGGATTGCTCAGGTCCACTGGCCTCCTGGCTCCCAAACACAAGGGGAAGGAAGGGGACAGGCTGGGCCCCAGGAGGACCCAGAGGGCTCCCAGCATGTCAAGGGCTGTGAGGATGCCCCCCCCCCCGAGGGCACCTCTCCCATCAGTGGCATAGCGCAGGTGCATGGATTGACCACGCCATTTCTCTGGTGTCTGCTGTGGGTCTACAGAGAAGGGAGACATGGGAAAGGGGATGCTCAATGTGGTCCATGCCAGAGTGCCCATATCAGGCATCCAATCAGATCCCCTGGGGCAGGGGAGAGCCATGGCCGGGCAGAACTTGGGCAGGAGATTCCTAAATATTACATGCCCTCCCCATCACCCCTTGGCCTGTGGCCCTGGGCATGGTACAGAGCTCTCATGTCCCACTCTGATCCAGAGACACCTTCATTTCAGCAGTGGGTAGAAAAAGCTTTCCCAGGGGCAGGTTTCTAACCACAAGCACTGGAAGCCCAGGCGGGCAGCCAGGTCCCTGGGCACAGTGGAGCCCTGGGCTCAGCTCTGTGTCTGAAGGCTCTGTATCTGCCCAGCGCCAGTGTTTTCCCCGAAGGTCTTGGCTTGCCCTACAGGGGCTGCTCCCAGGCACAGTGACATCCATGTGCACTCTGGGATGCTCTGCCCAGGAAACAAAAGGGCCTGGCAGCACCCGGCATTTGTGACTTCGCTGTGGAGGAATGAAGCTGGGGCAGGTGATCAGCTAGTGTGACTCGGTGCCTCCTGGCTGGCACGCTGGCCTGTCTGCCCCGGGGCCACACCATGGCATGGCAAGCCACGGTGACATGACAAGGGTGATGGGGCACACAGCCACCCTTCTCTCACTGGCCTGTGGGCCAAAGTAGAGCATCCATGTTTACAACACTCTGTCAGTACCCTGTCACATGAGAAGGTTTGCTGCCAGGCACTGGTTTGAAGTGACAAGGACCTCGAGTCGGCCATGTGATGCCAGTGTGCCTTGCTCACACAAGTGCCCTGGGTTTGCACCAGCCCATGTGTGGCATGGATGTGGCGGGCTCAGCAAAGTACCAGCACCAGACAAATGAGTGCCAAGGTGTTGGCTTGGACTGGCCTGGGCTCCTTTCCCGGCACACGGCTAAAACCAGCATGAACATATCCAGACAGTGTCCCATGCACCCGTCCCAAGAGCCAGAGACACCAGAAAATTCTCCAAATGCATCCCACAACCCTGCCTTGCCGCTTGGCACATGCTCCTGGTGAGCGTACATGTGTGCCCGTGCCAGGCACTTGTGAAATGACAGGCTGTCACGGATCTGCGGCCTGTCCCAGACCTCCCCCCTGGCAAAAATCGACCCATCCTAACAGACAGCAGCAACACTCGGGCACCTGCCTGCTCTCTGCTCCATCCCCACCTGAGTCCCCTCCCAGCATCTCCCCAGCTCAGTCACAGAGTCCTTCCTCCCCCTTTGGGAGAAGCTGTGCCTGTGCCAGACTGGGGGGTGACCCAGTGTGGCCACAGTACCTGCTGGGTGTAAGGGCCGGGCAGCCCTCTGGAGCAGGGGGGTGCCATATGGCCAGGTGGGCACCCAGGGCCCCTCTGCTGGCAGCAGAGCCCCCAGGGAGGGATGCGCAGTCCCCAGGCCCCTGCCAGCCCTGCTGGGTGTGTTTGCTTGGCAGCAGGGGCCGAGGGAACCTGCTGCTGCGAGCAAACAAACATGAGTCGGGCAAAAGGCAGTGAAGAAAACACCCTGCGAAGCCGGTGTGGGTGAAACTCTGGGCACCGGCAGGGCAAGGGCTCTGACAATGATTAAACTGGCCAACCCAGATTTCCCGGCAAGGCAGCGCTGGGCTGGGACCCGGTGGTTCATATTATGCAAATCACCTGGATCTGGGAGCATGAACGTTTAGGGCTGGAATTCCCCTCGGGCCGCCAGATCGCGTTACACCGCCCGTGCTATAAAAGAGGAGAGGAGGGCAGGGCTTGCCCATCGGCACCAGCCTCCCCGGGCCCATGAGCAGTGGCTAGCGGCTGAGCAGGGTGCCCCATCTCCCCTTGCTGCTTTCTGGATTAGCTGCCGCCCCCGGGATTGCCATCGCAGAAGGTACCAAAGCTTTTTCGTCCGGGGCCTGTTGACGTCCCCCAGCCCAGGATGGCTGCTTTGCTCCCTTCCCTGTGCAACTTCGCTCTTGCCGGGGGATGCGCTTGGTCTTTGCTTGCTGCCTGCCTGTTCTCCCAGACATTTTGAGGGGCCAGCGAGACAGCAGTCTGGAGGGGCACCCCTCCGGTCCCCACGTTTTGTCAAGTGAACAACGAGATTCGGCTCTTCCACAAGGGCTGGGCAGAGGCTTGGTCCCCTCCTGGCTGCAGAGTTACTGGGATGTGCTTCTTGCGACGGGTTGAGAGGACTGGAGCTGCTGGCACTGGAGTCCTTGCAGCGGGCAGCGGGGCAGGTGCTGTGCCAGCCCAAGCACTGCTGTGCTGTGGGGCTGGGGGAGCACCGGATGAGTGCCCTGCAACGCCCGTCCCCACAGAGGGGCTGTGCCGTGCCAGTCTCGGCGAGCCACCTGCCTGCTGTGGCTGCCCGTGGGGCTGGTGAGGTCGGGTGGCTGGGGACAGGGCTCTCCTGCAGGCGGGGTGACGCTGTGTCCCCGGTTTGCTCCGGCTCAGCCTCCCTCGATCCTGGCCCCCGGGGCGGTGGTGAGTCAGGCTCCAGCCCTGGCCGGTGGATGCTGGGCGGATGTTTCTGCAGAAGTGACCTGAGTGGTGACGGTGGGTGGAGGGAGGGAGAGCCCGGCCTCACCCAGCCCAGTTCTGGGGTGCTGCGGGCACTACAGGTTCAAGTCCCCCTGCATCCATGGGGCCAAGGCTTACTGTTGTCTCTCAGCGCAGGGCTTGATGGCGGGATCTTGTGACATCAGCAATGTCTTCTCTAACTACATCAGCGCTATGTACCAGCCGGATGAGGTGCAGCCAACCTTGGAGATGCTGGGACACCCTGGGGATGACAGCACCCTGGGGCTGAGCCTCCCCACCTGCCAGCCCCCAGCTCAGAGCTCAGGTAGGACAAGGGGAGCAGTGGCTGCCCAGGGCAGCCAGCACACAAGGCTTGGAAGAGCATTATAAGGTCCTTGTCCCACTGGGGCAGGTCAACAGGTCCCACCATGCCTCAGTTTCCCCAGGGGTGTGTTAGCTAAAAGGTTGCTGTAGGAGACTCTGGGTGGCACAAGGTGCAACTGTTTGGAGCACATCAGATACACACGGAGGATGAAGGAATCATTGCCCTCCTCCCCCAGCATGTCCCAGGGGATCAGCTGCCAGGGGTCACCAGGAGAGCAGCTTGGAAGTACAGTCCTGGTGATGGGGATCCCCACTCCACCAGTGGGACTGTCATGGGAGGCACAGGGAACACACCAGCAGAGCAGGGTGGGTCCCAGCATGGATGGGACACCGTAACCAATGGTGTGGGGAGTGTCAGGTCCTTGCTGTCCCCGGGACAGGAGCAGGGCAGAGCGAGGTGATCTGGGAGCAGGCACTAAGTGTCTGTCAGTCCCATAGCCCTTTAAGCGCAGGGCCCACTGTGCCCAACATGATTGCCACAGGACCGGACCTGGTGCCCAGCTGCAGCTGGCAGCCCACGCATGGCACACGGCGCCCTGTCCCTCAGCCCTGATCTCTGTCCCTTGCAGACAAGCCGGAGTGGTTCAGTGAGCTCCCATACTTCTGGACCAAGGTGCAGGTGCTGGAGTGGATCAGCTACCACATAGAGAAGAACAAGTACGATGCCAGCTCCATCGACTTCTCCTGCTGCAACATGGATGGGCACGCTCTCTGCCACTGCACCAGGGACCAGATGCGCCTCATCTTTGGGCCCCTGGGGGATGAACTCTACGACCGCCTGCATGAGATCAGTGAGTGTCCCAATGTCCCCTTCATCCCCAGGCCTGGCAGCTTGAAGAATGAAGCTGAGGGCCCCCCTCACCAGCCCAGGACCATCTGCTTCCCTGACACTGCAGAGGGCTGCCAGGGGGAGGTTTCACTGGGGAGGCTGCATATGGGGGCACAGACCAGAGTCCAGGCAGGGCTGGGCTCAGCTCCCAGTATGCACCATTCCCCTCCATACCAAACAGGCATCGCTAATCCCAGTCCCCCCACCCCTGCAGCCTCCGATGAGCTGAACTGGATCATTGACTTGCTGGAAAAAGAGGATGCGACTTCCCAGGAGACTTTCCTGAACTCCAGCCACTTGGGTAAGAGAGAGGCCCCAGCCAAGACTTTTCCCCAAGGACCACATGCTGATGCAGGCAGGGCTAACCCCTTCTTCCCTTCTCTGCCCCTTCCAGAGCTGGGAAATCCCTGTGCCAAGGAATCCCTGGAGGACATGAAGCCCACAAACCCTTTCTTAGCCACAGACTTCACCTGCTTGCCGGGTGCCATGTCCCCAGGCAGCTCTGATGTCTCAGGTCAGTGTTTTGCCCAGTGAAAATCTGCCTTCGCTTGTGCTGAGCTGGGACATCAGTGGGGAACTGCCCCACTGCCAAGGGTGGGTTTGGGTCTTGCACCAGGCTGCCTGCTGGGGCCTGGGGCAGGATGGTGGGGGAGGCATCCCCAGATGCCAGTAGCTGGCGGTCTGAGCCTGTCGCTTTGCCTCTCAGGGCCTGTGATGTCCCACAGCCCCATCTCCCAGGACTCCGGTGGAAGTGACCTCGACCTCGACCCTGTGGAAGCAAAGCTTTTCCCTGATGGTGAGTTGTTTGCTTCCCGCCTGGAGCTGGGATAGCAGGGTGTGCTCCCAGGCACTTCCAGCAGCTGCAGAGCACACTCCATCTAGCAATGATTTAGGGCCAACACCTGAACTGGGAAGGAGGGAGGGGGTTGATTTTCTGTGTGCCCTGGGTCTGTTTCTCTCCATTGAGAGAGCCTGCAACCCAGCGGGATCCGCACGGTGTAACGTCTCCCCTTGTCTGTGTGCACAGATGGCTTCACAGGGAGCAAGAAAGGGGACAGCAAACATGGCAAGCGGAAACGGGGACGGCCCCGAAAACTCAGCAAGGAGAGCAGAGACTGCCTGGAGAGCCGGAAGAGCAAGCACTGTACGTGGAGCCTCCAGTCCGGGAGCTTGGACTGCCTCCCCAAACGTGGCTGCACAGTGGGGAGATGGGAGAAAGGGCCATGTCTGCTGGCCATGCCCCTTGGCAGGGGAGTTTAGGGAGATCCAAAGTGCAGGATCTTGTCTCTACAGCTTGCTTTCTTCTTCCAGCCCCAAGAGGTACCCACCTGTGGGAGTTCATCCGGGACATCCTCATCCACCCAGAGCTGAACGAGGGGCTGATGAAGTGGGAGGACCGGCAGGAGGGTGTCTTCAAGTTCCTGCGCTCAGAAGCGGTGGCTCAGCTCTGGGGCCAGAAGAAGAAAAACAGCAGCATGACCTACGAGAAGCTGAGCCGAGCCATGCGGTGAGTGCCCTACCCTGTCCCCAGGGGGGACGTGCCCCACAGGGCTGGGTCAGGCCCACCAGGGCTCAGCCCTGAACCCCCAAAGCAGCTCCCCAGCACGTGGGTCTGCATCCAGAGCCCTGACTCCCCCTCCATCTCCTCCAGATATTACTACAAACGAGAGATCCTGGAGAGAGTCGATGGGCGACGACTGGTGTACAAGTTTGGGAAGAATTCCAGTGGCTGGAAGGAGGAGGAAGTGCTCAACAGGAACAAGGAGCTGTAGGAATCCTGGATGAGCTGGGGTCTGACAAGCCCCTCAGGGCCAGCCCCAAGCTGGGCTCTTTGGCAGGAAACGTTGCCTGCAACTGTATCTGGAGGCTGCTGCCCTGTGCAGTGTGTGAAACTCTGACTCATGGGCACGCTCGTGTGTGCTGGTGACCACTGAGGTGTTTAAAGCTAATACTTTGGCTCCAGTAGGTTATTGTAAACCGTTATTTGCCTCGCTGGATTTGTACCTCCAACTGGAGTTGCAGTGACTTTGGTTATTTCAAAGCCTGGACAAACACACAGGGGAAAAGAAGTTCCAGTGGCAGCTGGCACCACAGGGAGAGCCCAGGTCTCCTGCTGTCACCCACCATCTGCCCGGGTGGAGGGGCAGCACCACCGTCTCACCTGTGACCAAGCAGACCTTGTCCCAGCTATGGGGTCCTCTCTCATCATTGCTCCTGCTGTGCCGAAGGTGCCCACCATCGCGTTTGCTCCATATGGGATGGGTGAAGCCCCCCTGCGCAGCAGCTTCTCAGTGTGGCACCTGCTGAGAGAAGATGGGAATATTGTGGAGCTTCACCTGGAGAGCCCTCAGGCGGGGAGAGGACTTGGGACAGCAGGGCCACTCTGGATTTCCTGTATCTAGAAACAGGCCTTTTCCCCAAAAGTAGCTTCTAATTTATGTAAGACCGAAAACTGAATGAATGTACAGATATATTTTTTCATGAGTTCCCTTGTGAGAGTGTGCATTTTAGGACACACACGTGTCTTGTGGCAGGTGGTGATGCTCAGCTGGACTGAAGCAATGTCACGGGGGGCACAGACTGGCTCTGTGTCAGCCACAGGAGGGGGATGCCAGCCCAGCCAGGCACCCAGCCTGTGCACGTGGTTTCCTCCTTTTCAAATGGGAACATAAGAGGAATAAATTGTTTGGTTGGGTTTTTTTGTACCTCTCTGTCATTTTTCTTGTTTTACTTAAAGACACAGTGAGGATCAGACCCATGTTACCTGGGATGTCCCATTGCATGAACCCCATCTACCACCATCCTTCCTTCCTGCTGTAGCCTGGACTCGCCTGGTCATCCTGGCACAGGGTCACAGGGTTTTCCTGAGGATGAGGTGGGCTGCTTGTCCTTAGGCTACAGGGACTGAGATCTGGAGGCTTTGTCTCAAAGCCAGCCATGCAGGGGCATCTCACACCTGCTCCCAAACCTTGGACCTTCTGAGGACCCTCCAAAAATGCAGCCTTGGCACTCACCTTTGCAGGACGGCTTTCTTGGAGCACTAGCTCATAGCCAGAACTTGGTCAGTCACAGGCTGCTGGGAAGCAAATTTTTGGTCCCAAAGCCCAGTCTGCCATGGTCCAGTTGGGGGGGGTTCTCTCTGAGCTCCCTCCACATTAAGGTGCCAGCCTGGCTGGGGGTTGCAAGCTGCAAGAGGACATCCAGCTCCTCTCTGGCCACTGCTCTCGTCTGAGATGTGAAGGAACATCAAGGAGAAGCACAGGCACTGCAATATGTATCAGGCTTGCTCCTTTTCCAGTCTGGCTATTTGGGAGCCTCTCCTAGGACCTGTGTGCCTCTCAAGGACCACATCTTCAGGAGGGAAGATTGCTCAGGCCTAGCAATGTGGACATCTCAGACACATCATCTGCCCCTTCTTGCTCAATGGCAAGACCAGCCCTCCCTAGTTAGTCTAGCCATGAGAGGGCAGGGAGGGTGCCCCAGGGGTTCTGGGAGGATCTGTCCAACCCACAGGATATGTCTGTGGGGCAGCAAGAAGGAATTCATGGGATTGGAGGCCAAGCAGGTTCTCAGATCTCTTTCTACTGTGAGCCTGGCCATGAGTGGGCCATGCATCACTCCTGGTTGGCATGCATTGCCTGCATTTCATGACAAGTATTTCTGAATACTGCTGGGCACCAAAAGGTCTTATTGGCACCCTAACCTTGTGCTGGTGCATAGGACCCTGCAGGTGATAGCACTGCTCAGGTTCTGTTCACCCTCAAGGGGAAAGAGCCTGGCACCCATCCTCTGAGTTTGGAGCTTGACCAGGTCTGGGATGTGCAGGTAAATGCAATGACACATCCTTCTAAATGGTTTCAACCAGCGCCTGGAGTGACTAAGGAGGGGAGCCAGCCCACCAGCAGCAGGGAGGGGCGTGGGCTGGGTGAGGGGAGTTCTTGGGATGTGCTCAGCAGTGAGGGTGCCCTGCAAAGCCTGAGATGCCTTTTTGGCAGGAGGACCCAGACATTGCTCTCTGACTGCCCTTCATTACTGCTGGAGACACGGTACATTTAAAAATCACCCATCCTGAGCTTGTGAGAGTGTGACCCAATGCAAAAGAGAGAGAGAAATAAATCCTTCAAAGCAAGATCTTACCATCGGTGCTGTGTCCCCTGGACTGTCCTGGCTGCAGCACTTGGAACTGATCTCAGTCTGCCTGGCCTCAGCTCAAGCATGAAGCTGGTGGCTTGGAGCATCCCTGCTGCCAAACCACTTTGCTGCCTGGGGAACCCCAAGCTCCTGCTTCACCAGGACATGGATAACAAGAGATGGTTCCAGGGGCTGGGGGAACCAAATACCTGGCTGCAAGTTCCTTGTTTCAATTCCAAGCTCCCAGTGGTGATGGCCCTACTTGGCCTACTTCTCTGCTGGCTGTGGGCTCAGTGGCAGTTGAAGGACCTCCCGGAGACGCTGCAAGCACATGACTCATTTGCTTTGCCAGGGGCAGAAGGTGCCCATGGGCCAGATCCAGCCTCTTTTGGGTGGATTCAACGGCTGTTTATATGAGGAATTACCTTACTGGTGCAGCTGGGATGCCTGGGCTCCTGCAGCCATGCCATGCCATGCCATGCCATGCCATGCTATGCCATGCCCACACTGACAATTCAGAAAGACAATAAGAGGGGGTCTGCAGTCATGCAAAATCCCGGGGATGACAAAATCATATGGAAAAAGCTCCATCCCTCACCTCTTGCTGGGCTAGGCTGAAGTTGTACTGCTCCCAGATCCACATGCTGAGATGAGGCCATGAGGGTTACCCTGTGGTGCAAGAAGAGGACCCAGTCCCTGGGTGTGAACCAGGAGCCAGTCCATGGTCTGGGCTGCAGCCAGACCTCCGTCACATTCCTTGCGTAACCTTCCCCAGGGAACAGGTTTTCCCAGCTTGCATCTGCTGGCTCCAGCAAGCAGAGTATGCTCCAGGCCCATCCCTGACCTCCTGGAGCTGCCTCAAGGAGCAGGCTGGACGGGGTGGCTGGAGGGACAATGCTGAGATGCTTGGGCTGCCCACTCAAGTGGGCATGGTGCTTGGTGGCAGTCAGCATGTCCAGGTAAGGGACACGGTGAGCAGGGCAAGCCCAGCCACAGGTGAGGTCTAGCAGGAGCTGTCTGTGCTCTTGGCTACCATCCCTCTAAGTTTGGGGTTGTGGGTGAGGTGTTTATTCTCCATCAATAGATAACCCTGGCAGGCTGGCAGGGAGAGGGGAGCACTTTGTCACGCAGCCTGTTGCCCTGCCAAGCACACCTTGTTTGCTCAAGCAGTTTCATTTCTTTCCTGCTGCGGTTTTGTTACCTAACTGGCCTGGGACAATGTTTAACCAGCTCCGGCAGCAGCAGGGAACCTGTCTGCCTCCCCTCCCGTGCCCCCTGTGTCTCCACCACCTGCCACCACCACACCACTGCCATTGCCACGTTGGGGCCACGCCAGCTGGGAGGCTGGGGGCAGCGGTGGGGAGTCCACAGTGCCCTCAGCTGCATGGGCACCCTGTGCCAGAGGAGCACAAAGGGGCAGGGGTCTATGGGCATAGGCAGGGGGACCAGATCCTGGAGTCTGCCACGAAGGCCATGGGGCGAAGAGCCAGGGAAACCTGGGGGAGGGTGAGCAAAGCCAGACACACACACACGTGCGTGTGCACACACTGACACACACTCAGGGTAATCCTCACAGAGACCTCCAAACCTGCATTGAACCAACCCAGCAGAGCCTTCCAGCACACTGGCACCAAAAAGAGATGATTTATTTGGTTTTTTAATCTCTTTGGAGGTGCCTGGATTTTATGGCTGTGGCAAATCATGGCAGAAAACGGAGAAAAATAGGATTTTCCTCCAAAACAACTTCCCCTAACACATTAGTGACAGGATGAGGTGCAATGGTTTTAAACTGAAAGAGAGTAGATTTAGATTAGATATTAGGAAGAAATTCTTTACTGTGAGGGTAGAACAGGTTACCCAGTGGCTGCGCCATCCCTGGAAGGGTTCAAGGCCAGGTTGGATGGGGCTTTGAGCAACCTGGTCTGGTGGGAGGTGTCCCTGCCCAGGGCTGGGGGCTGGAACCAGATGACCTTTAAGGTCCCTGTCCATCTAAATCATTCTGTGATTCTATGATTTACACTGGGGTCTGCTGGGAGACCTTTCCCTCCAGGTGGTTCCAGGCTGACTGTGTTTCTGCCACAGAGTTGCCATAGAAATATCTCGGTTGCCCTTCAAGTTTGAGAATTAAAGTATTAAAGTGGTTTTTCTCTTCACCAAGGCCCCCCAAAGGGACATATGGGCTATTGCTGATCCCTGGTACCAGTTAGGGAAGAGGAGGGCAGTTTGGCCTGGGCAGTATTTGCTTTGGACCCATGGAGTCAAAGCAGGCTGTTGTGGCTGAAATGTGGCAAATGGGAGCAGAGCAATGGGGCGAGGGGAGAGGTTTCAAGTGGGCCAGCAAGAAGGTGTTCTATATTGCACATGATGGACCACGAACTGCCCCTGAGCACAACGGCATGACCCGATTTTCCAGCTGAGCCAGACTGTGGCCATCCCTGAGTCGAATCAGGGCAGATGGGAATGTAGTGGGGATGGGAACAGTCTGCAGGAGGCAGAGACCATCTCCCTGGGACCTCCTGCTCTCCCTCCCACTATCACTGCCTTTTCTTCAAGCTCCCTTAAGTCCCTACTGGCTTTCACCCTCTTACGCTCCTGCCTCTGGCTCAGCAGGACGGGGGAGCAGGACTGAAACCCCATACTGGGAGTCACTGGGCGTGTGGGGTCCCAACTGCCTTCCCATTGCCATGTGTAAGGGAGCTCCCAGTAGAACAAGGATAGAAACTAACCCCAACTCCACAGAGAGGGCCTGAGGAGAGGGCTCAAGTGTGGGGCCAAGACAGCACCTGAACCAAAATGAAGGTTGGCTCAAAATATCCAATGTCTTCATTCCTCAGGGGAAACATTTATTTGGTGGGGCATTTCTTTGGTGTGTTTCTTCCTGGGGTACCTGGTTCAGATGGGAATCAGCCCTTCAGACTCTGGGAAGAAGCTTGCAGAAAGAAGGAAAGGTGTGTAAGTTGCTGGGTCTGGTCCTCCTAAAAACATCCAGGGGGAAAAACCCTTAGAAGCCTGTGGGAGACATATAATGCAGCTGGACTTCTGCAGCTGTAACAAAGCAACCCTTTCCCTGCTGGATTTCACGTGGCACTGCCCTGGCCAGTCCCTGACCAGCCCCAGCCTTGCTTCATGCCACCCAGGCTAATATCTCCCAGGTTTCTGGAGTAGCTGTGCCTGGAGGAGGTGTGCAGGGTTCGGCATGGACAGAACCAAACTCCAGGATACCCAGCTCTGACATGGAAGTTGTTAGAGAAGCAGCAGTGTCAGACAGATTGAGCTGCCCAGCCATTCTGGGTGCTTTTCCAGCAGATTTGCAATCAGCTGGTATAAATATACCTGGAGAAGCATCCTCCTGAAAGGCCACTCCATCCGCATAGCCCTGAGCCAACCTGGGAGCAGCCGTGGTTAGTGAGCAGGGGTGGCAGAGCAGGGGCCCACCATTGCAGGGGAGACTGTGCTCTGGGGACAGACATCCGCTGAGCTGGGAACAAGGTACACCTCGGCACCCAAGGGCATTGCATAGGGGGGGTCTCCACACTGCACGGGGGAGTAAAGGCTGCGGGGCAGGTTGCACGGC